ATATATATATATATATATATATATATATATATATATATATATTCCAGATGATGTTATTATGATTTTGGTAAAGACATTTAAAACCATAAACATGGGTTCCTTGGGGTCCAAATCATGGGATAAAAATGTTCTTTACTTGACTGCATGACTTAAGGGAGGGCAGAGGGGAGGCCCATGTAGGGGCTAGAGGGGGAGGGAGGCAGCATTTCAGCCCAAGGACCTTTAAGGAGAAGAATCATGGGAGGTGAGGGATGTGGGCTTTTAGGACATGGACAATTTCTTGAAAGGATGCATTTGCGAACCAGAGACATGGGTCTGGGTCACATTTCCACTAGTGTCGTCCACTGCTGTCTGCTACTTCTGTCCTCACCACCTATTCTGTGGGAGCCCAAGGGCTTTCTCACATGTTGGTTGGGAATGAGGACAAGTGTGTTCTTTCAAAAGGAGAAGTGACAGCGGTGAGGAATACGCCCCTTCCAACTTTCCCAAGTTGGGAAGGAATGTTAGCTTCTCAAGGGGCACACGAAACGTCTGAAGGAGGCTCTCAGATCTCTGAGGTCAGCGCAGAACAAGTGGACATGCCAGAGCAGCAGCGATGCTTTGTGTGGGTTAGTGTCTGTTGTGGACAAAGGACCATTCAGAGGTTTTGATTTATTCACAATGTCACTTTTACAATTGGCCCTCATTTCTCGTTCACATTTCATCCTTAAAAGAGCATTTAAAAATCTCCTACGGCTATCATAACTCTTGCTAAAGTTTATAGGCTGGATACTTAATACATTATCATTTAGTCAAATAAGAAAAAATTTTAAATCGCCAGTCTGCGCCATTGGTTTCTAGTAGCATTATGCATTACTTGAAAACATACATTTAATTCTATGCTCAAGTTTAGAACTTTTTGTATATAGTATCTAGTTCAATTCTAAAATTTGAATTGAAAGACTACTTATTAAGAATGTTAAACTATCAAAGTATAATGTATCAAAAGCTATCCAGAAGTAAGAAATGCACTTCTTTGAATAAGCTATATACACATTATGATACCTTTGAAATATACTCATTAATTTATTAATTCATTAAAAAAAATGCCTGAATGCTTACTATGTGCAAAGCACTATGCCTACTATGTGCAAGGCACCAGGTACTATGGATATGAACAAAGATGAATAAGGCACAGTCCTGCCCTTTGGGGGCTTACAAGCTAGTAGTTTTTCAAGACACTGTGTAACAAGTGAACTAGAAGTGCTTTCTAATGTAAAGAGGAGCGAAGACTTTTTGCAGTGAGTGTTAGTTTAGTCGTCTTTGCGAAAGCTTCTTTCTTTTCATAATATGCGGCCTCATTTACAAATACGGGGTACACGGTACAGTCTCCGCCCAATGGAATGACCTCTCCATCAAGAGTTACAAACACAGGATCCCCAGGGCGCAATGGTTTCCAGTCTTGATCCTTTTAGGAAGCAATTAAAATGCATAAATTACATTCTGATTTTCTCCTACTTTAAAATGTTTGTGTCAGGCTATAGACAACTAACAAAGTATGGTATTAGATTCTTTTAAAAGAGATACTTGAAAGGCATACGTTGAGAGGCATATGAGTGATCTGACTAAACTGAGATTGAGTAGCTCATTTTGGCAGCAGTTTTAAAAGTTCCCCTTTTAACTTTTATAACATGTAATTAGAGATTGCTTGAATATTGAGTATACCTTGAATGTTGCCAAAGGGATTTGTAATGTTAAAAGGCAAAACAAAATGTGCGTCTCCTTTGGTGTATGTTCATTCCACCTCTTGTTAGCTGGAGTTAAATTCTGTTCAGCAAGATTTAGGAGCTATCCATTAAGAGCCTCCTGTGTGCAAGACATTAATACTTTGGGGATATAAAAATGAATAACATTGGCCCGCATATGAGGAGATCAATTCTGATGGGGAGTGGTGAGAGAAGGTGGAGTGGGCTGGGAAGAGTCTGAGATGAGGTGGATGTATTTTATACGTGTCCCCATATTATAACAACTGAGTTATCTGAAAGGTCCCATACCAGGAATTTGGATCTTTGAGCCCTCAAACACCAATGTTGTAAATCCATAGGAACCCTAAAGCAGTTTTTCTCAAACTTGGATGTGATTGAAAGTCATGTAGGGATTTTGTTAAAATGCAGATTCTGATTCTGTGAGTCTGGGGTGGAGGCCTGAGAATCTGCATTTCTAACATTTCCCGGCAGAAGCAGCACAGCACTGGGGGTCTGTTAGAAAAGCAGAATTTCACCCCCCACTGCAGACATACTAAATCAAGATCTTCATGTTAACAAATCCCCAGAGAGTCACATGCTCAACATTAAAGTTTGAGAAGCACTGCATTACAACAATTTTCTCAACCCTGGCTGCACATTATAATGACCTGGGATGTTTAAAACTATAATATATAGAGTTATAGAGAGGCTGGCCCCATCTCAGACACATCAAATGAGAGTCTCAAGAGTGGGGACCAGGCATCATTTAAAACATTTACACAAAAAACATCACCTGTTTTGGTGTATAGTTCTATGAGTTTTGACAAACGCACCGCATAGAATCGTATAACTGCGTAATCAAGACACATAGTTCCATCACAAACGTCCCCCAATTCCCTCATGCTACTCACTCATAGTCCACTGTTTTTATTTTTAGTTTTTAAGCCCCAGGTGATTCTACAGGACAACGCAGCTGAGAACTACTCCTCTGGGTCTGTGGTTTTCAGTTACAGACGTGCCCCCAAATGGCTGAAGGGGCTTCACCATTGCACCCATGGCGAGCCCCAGTGGCAGGGATTCTGACGTAGTGTGGTGCTACCCAATCCTGAGCTACAGGAAAACCACCTGGGGAACCTAATTGATTTCCTATCTCCACCTTGATGAGTTAAATCAAAATCTCTGGGGATGGGACCTGGGAATCAGGATTTTAAAGAAAGCACCTCAGGTGATTCTCTTGTGGCCTGAGTCTGAGAAGACTGCTTTAGTGTTTTTGTGATAGGCACCATGCATTTGAGGGACATCCCTAGATAATTCCAGTGAGCATCCCTGATTCATCCCTGACTAAGAACCATTGCTCTTAGAGCAAACTCTGGACTGGAAACAAGGTCCCTCCCTGTGTCTCTGGCTCCAGGGTCTACTGTCCTCTCTGTTCACTCCTTACTCTCCGTTGACACTGGTCTTCTTGCTGTTTCTTCAAACACTCCAAATTTATTTCAGCCTCAGGGACTTTGCACTTGTTTTCCACATGGCTGACTTCCCACCTTCTATGTTCTAGCTTCAACGCCTTCATCTCAGAGATGGCTCTTTCTGATGACTCCATCAAATAGGAACACTTTGTTCATCTCTACTCTGTTATTTTGTTTATTTCTTTTATAGCACTTATTACAATTTGAAATGATCTGGTTTATATATTGTTTTTAAAAAGATGTTTATTAAAATATAGCTAAAAAACAATATTATATTAGTTTCAGGTGTAGACCATAGTTATTCAACATTTGTATACCTAAAGAAGTGATCACCATGATAAGTCCAGCAACCATCTGACACTACCATGCTATCACAATATTATTGACTATACTCCCTGGGCTGTACATTATATCCCCATGACTTGTTTTATATGTGGAACTTTGAACCTCTTATTCCCTTTAACCTTTCTACCCCTTTTTAATTTTTCAATTACAGTTGACATTCAATATTATTTTATATTAATTTCAGGTGTACAGCATAGTGGTTAGACATTTATTTAATTTAAGCAGTGATCCCTCTGACTAGTGTAGTACCCACCTGGCACTATACATAGTTATTACCATTTTATTGACTATATTCCCTATAATTTACTTTACACACCCATGACTATTTTGTAACTTCCAATTTGTATTTCTTAATCCCTTCACCTTTTTCACCCTGCCCCCCAAACCCCTCCCATCTATCACCCTGATAGATCTAGTACCCATCTGATACCATACATAGTTATTATAATATTATTGACTATATTCCTTATGCTATACCCTACATCCCCATGACTAGTTTGTAACAATCAATTTGTACTTTTTAATCCTTTCCCCTTTTCATCCACCCTCAAACCCCCTCCCACCTGGCAATCATCAAAATGTTCTCTGTATCTATGAATTTGTTTCTGTTTTGTTTATGTTGTTCTTTAGATTCCACTTATAAGTAAAATCATATGACATTTATCTTCAACTGTCTGACTTACTATACTCAGCACACTTTGAGTATTTCCTGTCAATCCTTTCTGACCTTCAAAGTTTCTGTTGAAAAATCAGCTTAAAGTCTTACGGGAGCTCCCTTGTGGGTAACTAACTGCTTTTTTCTTGCTACATTTAAGATTCTTTGTCTTTAACCTTTGGCATTTTAATTATGATGCATCTTGGTGTGGGCCTTGTTGGGTTCATCTTGTTTGGGACTCTCTGTGCTTCCTGGGCTTGAATATGCATTTCCTTCACCAGGTTAGGGAAGTTTTTCATCATTATTTCTTAAATATGTTTTTGATTCCTTGTCCTCTCTCTTCTCCTTCTGGCACCCCTATGATGTGAATGTTGGTATGCTTGATGTTGGCCCAGAGGCCCCTTAAACTGTCCTCAATTTTTTGGATTCTGTTTTCTTTTTGCTCTTCCAGTTGGATATTTTCTGTTACCTTATCTTCTAAAATTGCTGATTTGATCCTCTGCTTCATCTAATCTACTGTTGAGTCCCTCTAATATATTTTTCATTTCAGTTGTATTCTTTATTTCTGACTGATTTTTTTTTTTGGTTTTCTATTCCACTTGTATGTTTCTTATCTCTTTGTTGAAATTCTCCCTGAGATTATTGAGCATCCTTATAACCAGTATTTTGAACTCTGCATCTAATAGATTGCTTGTCTCCATTTTGTGTATTTCTTTTTCTGGAGCTTTGTTCTGTTCTTTTATTTGGGACATGTTTCTTTGTCTCCCCATTTTGGCTGCCTCCCTGTGTTTGTTTCTATGTATTAGGTAGGGCTGCTATGTCCCTGATCTTAGTAGAGTGGCCTTATGTAGTAGGTGTCCTGTGAGGCCCGGTGGCACAGTCTCCCTAGTCACCAGAGCCGGGTGCTCCAGGTATGTCCCTTGTGTGGGTTGTATGTCTTCTACTGTTGTAGTTGAGCCTTGGTTGCTATTTGCGTGTCAATGGAAGAGACTGACCCTTGGGCTCATTGGTTGTGAGGACTGGCTGTGACTATAACGGAGGAGCGATTACACACGGGCTGACTCTATGGAGCAGGATTCACTTTAGCAGGGCTCTGGTGCCTGCCCCGTCTGCCCATTGAGTGTGTTGCCCTTGGAAGTGGCCGGATGATGCTCCAGTTCAGTTCGAAGCTGGTCACTGGGTGTGCCAGCCCCAGGGCCATCTGGAAAGGGACCCGCTGCAGGCCAAGCTCAGCCACAGCCAGTGTCCTGCCTATGGCCACCTGGCGTGAGCTACAAAGCAATCCACAGATGGCTGCCACCCACGTGTGCTTAGAGATTCCTCAAGAGGCCAAGCCACAAACCAGGTCAGCTGCTGCTAGTGCCAGACTTAGGACTGCTCAACCAGAGGTATGGGACACGATGAAACCAGGTGCTGCTTGTTTGGGTTTTGTGAACCTTTTAGAGAGTTCAGGAAAATCTGCAGCATGACTTAAGGTAGGCAGCTTGTATGAAAAAGCCACTGGAAGCAGCTTAGTTATGCCCAAAAGTTGAGTAGGGTGGGGTCTCCAGGAATCACCAGGGTAGGGCAGATGAAAGGTGATAGCCAGTTTGAAGGAGACTCAGATATGGCGGCTGCCTGTGTCTGCACACCAGGAAGGGGAAGGGCTCAACAAATAAAGAATGGCTTCCACCAGCTCCTCGGTCCGGGAGAAAGCTGCCTCTCCAGCCCTCATTCTGAAGCCAAACAACTCGGTTCCTCCCAGTTTGTCCCTGGCACCTTTTGAGCTGCTGCCCCAGCACTGGAGCTCAGAGTAGGTGAGACCATCAGTGAGTAAGTCCGTGCACAGACCCTCTAAGTGGAGTACCTGGGAGTGCAGCTGCCCTCTGTCCCACTCAGCCACAATCTCCACTGGTTTTCACAGCCAGAAATTATGGGTAGCTTTTTCCCCTCTGGCACTGGAACCCTGGGCTGGGGAGCCTGGTGTGGCACTGGAACCCCTTGCTCCACTAAGGGGGACCTCTGCAGCTGAGATAGCCCTTCTGATTTTTTTTTTTAAAGATTTTTATTTGGGAATTGGGGGGATGGGAACAGTGCTGGGGGATTGGGGAAGGGGAACAGACAAGTTGCTGTCGTTTTGTTCTTCAATCTAGTTG